GATTGGAGAGCGCCTTGAATGATGTGGAGGATTGGAGAGCGCCTTGAATGATGTGGAGGATTGGAGAGCGCCTTGAATGATGTGGAGGATTGGAGTGTGTAGGACTAGAGTGCGTTACGCCCAACGTATGTGGTGCACATGCCTTGCTGACACTCTTTTCTGCTCCCTGGCAGATGTTGACGAGTGTGCTACCATCACTGGGCTGTGCAGCGGGGGCCAGTGTTCGAACACAGCAGGGAGTTTCTTATGCAAGTGTCCCCAGGGCTACTTCACAGCTCTGGACGGCTCCCGGTGCATTGGTAAGGAGAGTGTGACGTAGACTGTGGTGCTCCAAGGGCCAGGGCCTAATTACACCTGGGCCCAAGTGGGGCAGCGATTATACGCAACGTGGGCCATTACAGAAATGATCCATGGGCACCGGCTGTCCTCAGTGGGCCTTTCACTCCGAGGTGGACGTCTGCCCTGTCACTGCTCCAGAAACCTGGCTGCTGGAATTTAGGTCAGCTTGTTACCTCTGATTTCACAAGAGGGAGAGACCGGAGATTCAGAGCTGCACATGGGGCTGGCTGGCGGGGTGGGGGGTGGTGGGGTGGGGGGTGGTGGGCTGGGGCCATAAGCATCACCCCCCTCCACTGCTCTTAGTCATCATCTTGGCTAAATATGGAAAACTATCTGTGTTACGAGCTGGTATTTAAGTGAACTGGAGCTGTGTTTTTAAAAAATTATTTAAATAAATTTGCCTGCACACCATGGGATAGCTCTAAACAACTATGCTATACTAACAGACAATAACTGTACTATGCTATACTATGTTGACATAGGCCATAGGAGCACATGATGTTGTTCTGTTGGATATATTTGCTATATATGCCACATATATAATTCCTATGTCTAATATATTGTAGTAGTTACTATCTGCATAGTTTAGTACAGTTATTTACCATTATATGCTTGTGTAGTATAGTACAGTATAGTTATTGAATGTTTATATCATTATGGGGGCAGCTACATGTGTGACCTACTTGCACAATAACAAACAGAAACATTTTGCATTTAGTACTTTTGTTGGTTCTCTTCTGGAAACAAGATTTTTTTCTCATGATGCATGTTTTAAAGCTGGAAAAATAATATTTGTCTCATCAGTGGATGGAGGGGAAGCCCCTTGGGCGGGGGGGGGGGAGTTCGACAGTCAGTCCAAGCAGATTCCGAATCCATGACCGCTCACTTAACTTTGCCCAAGAACTATGGGGGGGGCTTCATGGGATTTAATAAGTCAAACCTGATGCTGATGACCCAGAAAAATGAGAAGGGGCCTGTCTCCCATCCAAACGATGGGGGCCACAACCAGCCTCAGGCTGCAAGTGGGACTATGGGTCCCCCAGGCTTATCCTGAAAGCACCTGGGCAGTATGAAAGTACTCCCCCCCCCCAAACAGCCCCTGGGTACTGCTTTGGCAGCCGTGCAGTGTGAGAGTAATGTCCCCCCCTCCCCCCCAAACAGATAGCCGCCCTGGGTGCTGCTTCACCAGCCGTGCAGTGTGACAGTAATGTCCCCCCCTCCCCCCAAACAGATAGCCGCCCTGGGTGCTGCTTCACCAGCCGTGCAGTGTGACAGTAATGTCCCCCCCTCCCCCCCAAACAGATAGCCGCCCTGGGTACTGCTTCGCCAGCCTGCTGAATGGGCGCTGCAGCAGCAGAAGCTCCCTACTCATGTCCCGCATGCAGTGCTGCTGCGACGGGGGGCGCTGCTGGGCGGACGGCTCCACGCCGGAGTTGTGTCCCATCGCTGGGACAGGTCAGAACTCTTTCTGTACTCATCTAAGGCCTGGAACCTGCAGGTCGGTAGTGCATGCTGTTAATCAGCGTGCTGCATGCTGCCTGCATTGCTCTTTGTTCCGGAATAGTCTGTGCATTATAAGTATACATATAAAAACATTGATGTATCCTTCATTCATTGCTATTGGAGCTATGAAAATTGTAATTATTTTTAAATTTTCTAAACAGCCTCCTCAGTGTGGAAAAAAGTAAACATGTCTGCATATTTTTTCGTCCCAGTTTCATGTTTATAATAGCAGTAGTACCATGATTTCCCAGGGGCTTCTGGGAGCTTTGACCGCATGCTGTATCCTTCCCTTCCAGAGGAGCACCAGAGGCTGTGCACTCAGATCTCCATCCCAGGCCCCGGAATCCCCTTCGGCCCCGGGATCGGCCCCGGGATCGGCCCCGGGATCGGCCCTGGCATCCCCATCGGCCCCGGGATCGGCCCCGGGATCGGCCCTGGCATCCCCTTCGGCCCCGGGATCGGCCCCGGGATCGGCCCTGGCATCGGCCCTGGCATCCCCATCGGGCCCGGGACCCCCATCGGCCCTGGCATCCCCATCGGCCCTGGCATCCCCATTGGCCCCGGGGGGCCGTTCGGACCAGCGGTAGGGCCTGGAGGTCCGGGCGACCCCAGCAGGCCTTTCTTACCAGGCACCTTGACGATTCCTGACCCGGGGACTGGCCCAGGTTACTTGGGCCCTCCCAGTATGTCCAGCTTCACTTACTTATATTATCATAGTGTAGTGCAGGGTTCTTCAAATCTGGACCTTGATTCCAAATCCAGGCCTTGTTTTCAGTTCTCCCAGGTAGTTAGTTTAATAATTACGGATTCTGATTGGTCAGAGGCTTCACAGGTAAAGGAAGGCTTGAAAACCAGCAGTGCTTGGACCTCAAGGACCGTGATTTGAATAACCCTGGTGTAGTTTAATTCCTGTACAGATAGTTACTATACTATTAACACTCAGATTACAGCCTCCCCCCTGTTTGCACTCACTCAGGTTACAGCACCCCTGCCTGCACTTTAACGGATTACTGACCCCCATCTGCACTTGCTCGGATTACTGACCCCCATCTGCACTTGCTCNCGGATTACTGACCCCCATCTGCACTTGCTCGGATTACTGACCCCCATCTGCACTTGCTCAGATTACTGACCCCCATCTGCACTTGCTCAGATTACTGACCCTCATCTGCACTTACTCGGATTACTGACCCCCATCTGCACTTGCTCAGATTACTGACCCTCATCTGCACTTGCTCGGATTACTGACTCCCATCTGCACTTGCTCAGATTACTGACCCCCATCTGCACTTGCTCAGATTACTGACCCCCATCTGCACTTACTCGGATTACTGACCCTCATCTGCACTTGCTCGGATTACTGACCCCCATCTGCACTTGCTCNACTTGCTCAGATTACTGACCCCCATCTGCACTTACTCGGATTACTGACCCTCATCTGCACTTGCTCGGATTACTGACCCCCATCTGCACTTGCTCAGATTACTGACCCCCATCTGCACTTACTCGGATTACTGACCCCCATCTGCACTTGCTCAGATTACTGACTCCCATCTGCACTTGCTCAGATTACTGACTCCCATCTGCACTTACTCGGATTACTGACCCTCATCTGCACTTGCTCGGATTACTGACCCCCATCTGCACTTGCTCAGATTACTGCTTCTCCCCATACTTACTCAGATTACCACCCCCCATCTGGATTTACCTGGTTTATACTTATTCTGTCAATTCAGATTAGTTCTCATCTTTGCCCATCTGCTCTAAGATGGCCGCTCGACTTCTTCTCTCTGCAGTCATCCAGTCCCAGAACATCACAAACATATGCCAGGCATACCGCAACCTGTGCCTGAATGGCCGCTGCGTTCCCACCCCAGGCAGCTACTACTGTGAATGTAACCGAGGCTTCAACCTGGACGTGCGCGGCGAGTGCATCGGTGAGCCTTTTCGCTCCCACATGTGCCCGGACCTTGTGACCTGCATGCTGTTTTAAACCATAACTTCATGTCTGCTGTGTGCTTCCCCTCGGTTCATTTTGGTTTCCTGTTATTCGATGGCGCCCCCACCAGACACGGATGAGTGTCAACATAGCCCATGTGTGCATGGCCAGTGTGTCAACACAGCCGGCTCCTACTTCTGCGAGTGTCCTCCGGGCTTCCAAAGCACTGCCACACGCACAGAGTGCAGAGGTGAGATGCGGCTCACAACTCTATGCAGAACCAGTACTGCTGACCTAGACACACCCCTCTGTGTCGCAAACGGCTGGACACGCTACATTATACTACACACTTTACACTATACTACAGCTGAGCACTTCATTGTGGTACCCATACTGAAAGGTCTAAGAGCAGTTCCCAATCTTGGATTCCACACATGCTATTGGCCCAGTGTTACAACCATTCCTCTGTAATCAATATACACTCCTGTGGAACCAACCCCCCTCCCCATAAGAATTGCTGACGTCAGTTCCTGACTTCTCCAACTGAAGTCTCCTAACGGATGACTTTACATGGTCTCCATGTGTTATTCCACATTCACACTGCTGCTACAGGGTCCCACACGTCCCTCAAGTCCTTGCTTTGTCTGAGGTGGGTCTCGGTAAGGTCGTCCCCTCTCCCCTCTACCCACCTGTCTGTCTCTCAGATCTGGACGAGTGTGTGGCGAATGGGCGCATCTGCAACAACGGCCGCTGTGTCAACACTGACGGCAGCTTCCACTGCGTCTGCAACGCCGGTTTCGACCTCTCCTCAGATGGAAGGAACTGCCAAGGTCTGGGGGACGCCTTTCTCGACACTGGCTGTTCTCTGACTTTGACTCTGCTCTGACTCTGCTCTGACTCTGCTCTGACTCTGCTCTGACTCTGCTCTGACTCTGCTCTTTCTGTTGCCTGTTGATGTTCTCAGATATGGCCGAGTTTTATATTAGCTTGACAGTGCCAGGAAGTACATGTCTCTCATCGGCCGTTGAATGAATATCAGAGAGCCAGTAGCCTAGTAAGACTGGAGGGGATGTGCTGGACCACTGCTTCTTCTGTTTCAATAAGCATTTACAATTTGAATCACAGCAGTGCTTGGGGTCAGAGCCCCTAGGGGTGTGAATTCTCCATGCGGTGCACTGCATAACCCATTACAGTGAACCGGAACTGCATACCTTTCAAGTCGGGTATTTGCGAATGTCTGTTTTCAGACCAGGACGAGTGCCTGATCAGAAACATGTGCCTGAATGGCATGTGCATCAATGAGGACGGCAGCTTCAAATGCGTCTGCAAGCCCGGCTTCGTCCTGAACCCAACCGGCCGCTTCTGCACAGGTGGGTGTGAAGCACATACACTGGTGCAGCTGTCAGGCTGCAGAAAGCTTTGCTAATTTCTGTGCTGAGGAGCACCTCTTCCAGGAGTGAGTATTATGGGAATTTAATATCCCTCAGTATATAGTTATAGGAAATATCAGCGCAGGGTTAGGACCCACTAAACCACTATGTTACAAAATCCATAAATTCACGCTTCTGTTCTCAGGAAATCAGTTGTGTTTATTGGGCTGAACATTTCCTTAGATACCAGCCTAAAGGTCTCTCGGCTCGGGCAGCACAGTGGGATGTAATTACCCCTGCGTGCTGGAACGCCCGTTGCATTGTTTCCTTATAAGGCTGCAGGGTTTGTTGGAGAAATAATAGTGGTAGGACTGACCATCTCATTTTATTCAGCTATTTTTACAGCCTAATCTGTAAAGTCACGTAATGGTTTGGGCCAGCTGAACACGTGCTGTTTGGGTGAAGCTGTGTGCAGTGTTAAGCAATGCAGTGAATCGGGGGGGGTGGGATCCTGGAGCTGAGTGATGCGCACCTTTAATAAGTATTCTGAACGCTTTTCGGCCCTGATGCCGCAGTATGGTTTAATAAGGAAGCAGAACCTCTTCCCAGTTTTTAGACTTGTCATTAACTTCAACACTGTTTGTTTGAATGGCCGGTCCCGTCACGCGGTTCTGCCCCCTGGAATGAGCGCGAGCCTCTCCTCCTGCTTCCCTGCAGACATTGACGAATGCGAGGTCCCTGGGATGTGCATGAACGGCCACTGCGTCAACACTGAGGGCTCCTTCCGCTGCGAGTGCATGGCCGGCCTGGCCGTGGGCCTGGACGGCCGCGTCTGTGTGGGTGAGTCCCGCTCTCCTTTATAGACTTGCTGCTAACGGCTAATCCAGGGCGCTCTCTTTGTTGTGTCCCCGAGTGGGGGGAGGGAGACTCTCTATTTGACTGGTACATTCTGAGATCCCACATGGATGCCAGCTCTTTGCCATGGAAATCTGGGGTTTGTTGTGCAATGTGCTTATCCAGTCATACACATAAACACCCTGCACATTTGCTGCTGTCTGGGAGTCGCCGTGTACTTGTCCCAAGTACATATTTCATATGCATCTGATGGAACATCAGTGCAGAAGGACTCAGAGGGGACCTCCAGGCATCCTGCCTGCTGCCATGTGTCCCCCCCTCAGTCACACCCCTTCCCCCCCCCACAGACACGCACATGCGCAGCACCTGCTACGGCGGCTACAAGCGTGGCCAGTGTGTGGCGCCCTTCCCCGGTGCCGTCACCAAGTCCGAATGCTGCTGCTCCAACCTGGAGTATGCCTTCGGGGAGCCCTGCCAGCCGTGCCCCGCCCACAGCTCAGGTATCCATTCTACTCACTTTATTTTTATATAGTGTCTTTCCTATCACGGTTGTCCCAAATCACTTAATACAGAGTGCAACTACAGTTCAGGGTAACGCAAGTCCAAATGGATAGTAAACCAGAGCCATAAGACAGCAGAGGAGAGGAGACCGACAGCTCACTAGATTTCCCGTGCCCCCATAACTTCTAAAGGTCAGCTCTGCCTCCAGCCATCTGCTTCATATACAGTGGCCTCAGCAGTCTTATTCATGGTAGGCTGAAGGAAAGTGATAGGTCTTTAGTTAGGATTCAAACAGTGAGATTGAGCGCTCATCTGCCCATTTCCCAGAATTCCTTTCATCTCACATTCATCCGGTTGATTGTGCAGCCAAACACATGCATCCAGTGGTTCAGTTTCTGGTAAATATGAATAATAAAAACAAAGACAAATGACCATTTGTGATTAACTTTCATGCATTCCTTATTGTTTCTGATTTTTTTTTCTATGTAACTGCACATTCCTTTACAGACTTACAGACTAATTTTATATTACCTCTCATCCTGGAGATAATGGATCTATAAATACCAAATGACATATTTAAAAAATATCTTTACTAAATGGTAATACCCCACTTATGTGCGTATTCCAAGGTTTTTAATTTTTTTTGGCCCCTGAAACTGACTGCTCTGTGTTGCCTATTGGAGGCCATGCTCCTTCTATGAGTGTAATTAACAGTTGCGCTTCATACTAGTGCTTGAAACAACAACGCCACCTGGAGGGATGGAGGTTGTTCACCCTAGCAGTATACTCCACTGTAGCAAGTGTGACCCATATTAGAGAGCCACCTTGCACAGACTCTCGACTAACAAGAGACCTAGGGAGCGGCTCCCTCTACATAACACGTGGGAGGCCCCCTGGCATGAAACGGCAGACATGCGCGAAGCTGAGGCATTTGTCTACCTGACACGGGCCGTCTGCGGTCAGCTCTGATTGGATGCAGAAACCTTGAAGAATGTCGAATGGGGATGTTATTTATGGCTGCGTGTTCTGCTGCGCCGTGAGTCACAAAGACGTCCGTGTGGTCCCGGTGACGAGCCGTCCCTTTGGGAGCGAGGGAAGGCAGGGTCGAGAGAGGTGTGCGTTCTCTTGTCAGCATCAAAGTTATTTGCCTTTGGCAGCCTCTCTGCGGGCAAGTCAGCATCCCACTTGTGTTTTGATGTGGTTTGTTGTTCTCTATGGTTTGGACACCAAGCATTCCTCCTCCAATGGCTTGCACATGTGTCAGTCGGACACAAGACTCTGCATGAGCTCATAGGGGCGTCGGGGCATTTGTGGTTGGTTGTGACAGAGTTGGGTTCTTTGCCACACCGGTGGATCCTCAAAACCTTAATCAAGTTTGTCGGGACCTTCTGACTGTTCCTTGCTTTCCAGCTGAGTTCCTGGCCCTCTGCAGTCATGGGATTGGCAGCACCAGTGATGGAAGAGGTGGGTATGGCCTCGTTACCTCCGCAGCGAGGAACGGTGTTGGACAGGATGGTCCATTGATCACCCATACTTCCCCCCGTAGATATAAACGAGTGCGCTCTGGACCCAGACATCTGTCAGAATGGTGTCTGCGAGAACATGCTGAGGACCTACAAGTGTAACTGCAACGTGGGATATGAGGTGGATTCTACGGGCAAAAACTGTGTCGGTGGGTTACCGTCTCACCCCCTCACTCATCAGCTCAGTGGCGCCCCCTTCTGGCTATGAGCACTGACAGCCTTATCCTTCCGCAGACATCGATGAGTGTGCAATGAACCGGCTCCTGTGCGACAACGGGATCTGCAGGAACACGCCCGGAAGCTTCTCTTGCCAGTGCCCAAAGGGTTTCTACTTCCACGCACTGACTGATGTGTGTGAAGGTGACTTTGGCGCACCCTCTCGCCCTGTCCGTCACATGAACCTGTGCGGGCATAACACCATAAGGGCATCTGTAGTTCGAGGTATAGATAATCCGGTAATCCCATCACAGGTGTTGCTGGAGCTGAAGGTATTTGTCACTGCACTGCGTGTGCGTTCCAGTGGGTATGACCTGTGATCATGGAGTGTGACTCGCTTGTTTTTTTTCCCCCCCTCTTCTATAGATGTGGATGAGTCCAACCCCTGTGTGGGCGCGGAGTGTAAGAATACAGTGGGGTCCTTCACCTGCCAGTGTTCCCCAGGCAGCATCCTGGACAGCTCTGGAACCCAGTGTGTGGGTACGTGACCCTCTGTGTCTCAGGCAGGGATGGGAACAAGTCATTCCTTGGGGGGTCCGAGTCAAGTCTCGAGTCATTTGCCCTCAAGTCCAAGTCTTTCCATCATTTTTGTTGTCAAGTCACAAGTGATCAAATTGTTGACTCAAGTCCAAGTTGAGTTATGAGCCATGTAACTTGAGCCCCTACCTATGTCAATTTTTTAACATTTAGTGATTAAAACTTTCTGCAGCAACAACCCACCACAGTACATCATAGGTGACATTCTCTATAGGCAGAGAGAGTTTGAAATGAGAGCATCCACTCATAGTTGTCCTCACACAGTTTTTACATCCAGGGAGTGATGCATCTTTGCACCAAACGTTCTCAGGAGACCTTGCATTCAGCTAACTGAAAATGCAGACTGCAGAGAATTAATATGCACTAAAATTATAAAAATAATGTTATGGTATCCAGAGGGGGGACTCTAACCTCAAGTCTTGTCGAGTCATAGGGTCCAAGTCAGATTCAAGTCTTGAGTCATTTGTGACTTGAATCAATACCAAGAATGCAGATTGTAGATTCCACCTGCCTTTTGCGGCGCTCGGATCCAGCGGCCCCCGGTACCCAATGCTCACTGACCCAGCAGGACCGCGATATGTCTGATCTCCAGAGACCAGCAAGGGCACATGCTGGCTGAAGATGATCGACAACCGCTGCGAGATCAACATCAACGGAGGCATACTGAAGTCCCAATGCTGTGCCACACTGGGGGCTGCCTGGGGCAGTCCCTGCATCCGCTGTGAGCCAGGTAAGGGCTCAGTCAGCTCAGGTCCTTTCTAGCCAGTTCTGGACGTCATTGACATTGGCCGAGTGCCACTGGCGGACGTGAAGACTTGTGTCCTCTGCTTGCAGATCGGTTATGCTCTAAGGGACTTGCCCGAGTAAGGGGGACAGAGTGTGAAGGTGAGGACGTCTGGGGACAGCACCCTTCCTGCTTCACATCAAGGCATTTGTGTCATTTTCACCTTGTATTCCCATGAAAAGTGACATTTTGTTGTTTCCAAGCAGACATGTCTAAACCCAGGACTATATTTACATGAACTGTGTCCCTGTCCCGTTCTCCTGCTGTCCGGCTTCTTCTGTTGTCCTTTGTCAGTCATTTGTTACTGCTGGATTTGTTCCTGGCTGTGTTGTTAACTCTCTTTTCCGGCGATAGATGTGAATGAGTGTGAGGTGTTTCCTGGAGTTTGCATCAACGGAAAGTGTGTAAACACCCTGGGCTCTTTTATTTGCCAGTGCCCCAGTGGAATGACACTGGACGACTCTGGTAGAACGTGCATCGGTATGTAGTCCTGCCTGCCCCTGTTTCTCTCTCTCTCTGCCATGGTGCCATTCTGGTTACCATTGGCGACAGCAGCCCGAGGCTCAGATCCAACACTGTGGTTTTCTTTCTTTTCGTCTTTGCTGCTTGTCAGTTGTGTGGCCTGAACCATGTGGTCTGTGCAGACTCGCTGTCACACGCCTTACAACCATTGCAAATCACATCTTGTGTTTTTAAACAAAATAAAAAATACAAATATTACGCTTTGCCAGTACTATTAATGTTATTATACTGTGGTATATAGTATTTTGAGGGTCTTTTTTTAAAGCAGTGCTTTTTCAGTATTTTGAAACCTTGATTATGAAATTCTCTGAGGGGAGGGCGGGGAAGCACACCCCGATTATATATTTTGCTGAACCACTGTCCACACTAATGCTAATTTCGTCACTTACGTTTCTAAACAGCGTGGTTTTCCCAAAATACCGTGATACTGCCAAAGCCTAAGAAATGCATTTTCTACAACAAAATATTCTTTTTATTCATTTAATTGCATTATATAGATTTCCACATGCCTGCAGAGACAGTAATGCAGACATTCCTGCATGTGCGTGTGTGGTGTGTGTGGTGTGTGTGTCTGTGTGTGTGGTGTGTATCTGTGTGTGTGTGTGTCCCACAGATCTCCGCACTGAGCAATGCTATCTGACCCACGAGGACGAGCGCTGTGGCGCCCCCATCCCAGGCCGGCACCGTGTGGACACCTGCTGCTGCTCGGTGGGTGTGGCCTGGGGTCCTGAGTGCGATGAGTGTCCGGAGAGGGGCAGCTCCGAATTCAGCCTGCTCTGCCCCCGCGGCCTTGGCTTCTCCCACAGGGGTGACTTTGTCAACGGGAAGCCCTTCCTGAAAGGTACGTGGCTCAGCGTGGGTGAGCAGGGCTTTAGTAGATCGGCAGGGAGCGGCAGCGGCCTTCCCCATTGTGCTGCCACGACCTTTGACCTTTCCTTCGTCTTCCTCTACCTGTTCTCGCCGCGTGCACGCGCAGACATCAACGAGTGCAAGATGATCCACAGCCTGTGCGCCAACGGGAAGTGCAGGAACACGGTCGGCAGCTTCAAGTGCAAGTGCAATAATGGCTTCGCCTTGGACTCCCATGAAAGGAACTGCACGGGTGAGCGGGGGGGCTCGCAGTGTGAAGCTGTCCTCCTCTATGGTGCAGCTGTAACCTTGTTTATGTGCCACATTGAAAACATAATGCTATAGTGCAAGGTTTCTCAACCCAGTCCTCGGGGACCGCCAGATGGTCCACGTTTTTGCTGTCTCCCAATTGGCAGGGAATTGGGAGAGAGCAAAAACATGGACCGTCTGGTGGTCCCCGAGGACCGGGTTGAGAAACCCTGCTATAGTGGCCCTAACATGCATTCTCCCCCTCAGAGGATGGTGTTGGTAGTCCAGACTACATTAGTCCCTCTGTTTATTGCGTTGCGTGGCTCTGATGCCGTCCCGTTGCCCATGCAGATATTGACGAGTGCCGCATCTCGCCGGACTTGTGTGGCCAGGGCACATGCGTCAACACGCCGGGGGACTTCGAGTGTCAGTGTTTGGAGGGGTATGAGAGCGGCTTCATGATGATGAAGAACTGCATGGGTGAGTGCCAGACACCCTGTCCCACCCGTCACACCGTTGCAGAATTCCCACGTCCTGAGGCCAACATCTCTGTCCCCGCAGATATCGACGAGTGTGAGCGCAACCCGCTTCTGTGCCGAGGTGGCCTGTGCATCAACACGGAAGGCAGCTTCTACTGTGTCTGCCCCCCAGGTCATGAGGTCGCGCCCGATGGATCTGCCTGCCTGGGTGAGCAGGGGGAGGGTCTTGGGTAGCTCAGGGGGCAGGGTTTGCAGGTAGGCATTGCCTTTTGTGGGCCAATGAGCTCACGGTTACCTTTAGTATCATTTTAGGATCACTTTAAGCTCGTTTTTCACATCCCTGGAACTTCTGTCATCTGGCAGCAGAGATGTACAGGCGGTATGGCGAGATGTTGAAGACGCTCAAATGCTGTTGTATGTCTAGACAGATAAGGGGCCCGGATAGCCGACATCCCACGTGTGTAGACAGAACTTCGGTCTGAGTAGGCCCTGGGGAAGCTACTCACTCCCACGGCAGGGCAGATAAGACATGCGGCGCAGACGAGCCGGGCCCTGGGCTTGGGACTTGGGCCCCGCAGATGGAGAGAGCTTCTCGCCAACTTAGACTGCAGCCAGGAAGCTTCTCCACATGAGGAGATAAATATGAGCTGTCTGGAAGCAGGTTGCAGATGGATTCAATTGCGTTCAAGACCCGGGAAGACTATGGCTTCAGTGGCGACTTCCAGACATCTGTGTGAGATAAATTTAGTGGGACGTTCATTTGTTAGGATGTATTTTTGTGTGTGTACGAGAGAGAGAGTGGCATTGTAGAGGGGGGCCTCTTGTACAACGGAAGGACGTCCCCCCCAAGCCCCCACTGAGATCAGTAGGGACACAGGAATGTTAAACTCCTGTCTCTTTTCTGTACACCTGCCAGACATCAACGAGTGTGAGCTGAGCGACAGACTGTGCAAGAATGGGCAGTGTGTCAACATGGTGGGTGGCTACCAGTGCTCCTGTGACACGGGCTATCAGTCCACCGAGGACCGGCTCTCCTGCGTCGGTATGGATCGCATGACTGGGATCGATGCTGTTCTCCATGCCAAGGCCTGCTGTCTGCTCACCCATCCATCCACCTATCCCAGATATCGACGAGTGCACTATCCAGAACGGAGGCTGCGAGAGCTTCTGCACCAACTCCGAGGGCAGTTACGAATGCAGCTGTCGCCATGGCTACGCGCTGATGCCCGACCAGAGGAGCTGCACGGGTGAGGCACGGCTGCCATGCACCAGTCCCCTGCTCCTGGGGGGGGGGGGGGGCTGTTAGCTGCCCACGGAGACATTTCCTCCCTGTAGCCCATGTAGTGACAATGTTTGATGGCATGCCCCCACCCCCCATTCCCTCTCCATAGATATCGACGAGTGTGAGGACAACCCAGACATCTGTGAAGGGGGCCAGTGCACAAACCATCCCGGGCATTACCAGTGTCTGTGCTTTGACGGGTTCATGTCCTCTGAAAATATGAAGATGTGTCTTGGTAAGGCAGTGAACTTTCTCTCTGCTAATTAGTCGTTTTATAAGCTGCAAGGTGTTGAAAATCCAAAGGAGTTATGCGTGTGTTTGCGCAGTACTGGGCTGCGGCTCTTTTGCACAGTGGAACATGGACAGGTATCAGGTGTCCTGTAGCATGATGAGTTTGCCTGAAACTCAGAGGTCTGGCCTGATAAATTCAGCTTGTAGAGATTTCTGGAGGTTTTCCCTGTGAATCCAGGGGCTCCTTTTCTGGTCTAGCCAAAGAGCCTCTGCATTTTTAGGCTATGCACCTCTTCTCCCTGCTGTCCTCCTCCAGATGTGGATGAGTGTGTCCTCAACCCGAACATCTGCTTGAGCGGGAACTGTGAGAACACGAAGGGCTCCTTCATCTGCCACTGCGACCTGGGATTCTCTGTCAGGAAGGGCAGCACTGGCTGTACAGGTAGGCCAGCCAGGGAGGGCGAGGGGGCCCAAAGCAGATGGGGCGGGAGCATCCTTGCATGCATCTGGGATGGGGCTTGGAGGTGGAGCAGAAGACGGGTATTTCCTGCAGCTTTCGGAGAAGCTGGAGCCACGGGCGCACTCTATTAGGAGGGAGGCGGAGTGTTACATGAGTCAAGTGCTGTCATTAACATCAGGAGGCTCAAAGAAATCAAGAGGAAAACAAGCATTTGATGAGCGTCTGTGAGCTCGCCAGCTTGCGGCCCTCAGACGGGGGTTTCCGTGCGAGCCCAGCCGGCGAGCTCCTCAGGGTGACATCATCATGTCAAGAACGACGGCGCGAGAAACGTGTGTTGAATTACTTTGTTTGTTCCGCCGCGCCACTGCTATTAAAGCGGAATAAACATTACGTTCAATTTATGCCATGTCAATAAAACTGCCCGCTGCGCTGCCAATGAAGAGGGAGTCTAAGTGAACGTTACAGCTGGCTGGGGCAAAGGTTAGACAAAAATAACCCGGCGGACTCCTTTAATTAATGTTCATTCAAGTCTACACCGGTCAGTCTTTGAGCCGGAAAGTTCCAGATACTTGGCATTCGCTGGGATTTCTGGAGACTTGTTTGATGAGCATCTGCTCCACCCTACACAGATGCTTGAGCGCAGATCATGCAGCGCACGGTCAGGCGAAATGGCCAGCGGCACAAGCAATGTTAGACGCACACGGACAAAGCGGGCGTGGTGTAAAACATGGCTCGGTGCTGCCTTTCAGCCTTTGTGCTTCTAGAGTGCTCAGGATGTTGGGGGCGGGGGGCGCTGTTGGGAGATACTCGAGGGCAATACCTTCACAGCCCATCTCGTCGTGTGGCTCAGCATCCTGTCAGTCACGCCGCTCCTGCATATGGATGACATATTTCTCCTCACCTGAGTCCCGTCGTGGCCTCTGATTGGCGGGCGGCAGCCACGCCCTCGCCTTCGGCGCCCAGCATTACATAAATCCCAGATCTCATGGTTTGTCTCTGGGGCGGATTACCTTATGAACGGATGTGGCACAGAATGAGCCAGCCCCAGATGACAGCCGAGGGGGAACGGGTTGTCCTTTTCGTATTTCGTGCGGCATAAAGATACCACAGAGATAACGAAAGCTTCAGTAAAGCCCATCTCCTGACACAGAGCTGTTTATTGAGCTAATCTAATCCCCGAGGTATGACGAGTACATGCATGGGAGGGGTCAGTGTTGGCTTGCGCCCGGCCTCTCCCGGGGGCCTTGTAGCCCATATGGGAAGTCTACAGCGACCAGCAGCATGCCTGAAATCACAGAGGGTTCCCGAATGCCTGAAGTCATTCCTCCCTCTCCGCACCCCCCCTCCGCCCCCGCCTCACGTGCAAAGCCTTAGCCCCTCTAAAGCCATTGCTGTCTGCTTTCATCATTACTGAACCCAGCTTGAGGATCCTTGACACCGTTTCTGAATGCAGCCACTTCTGCTCCCCCTTTTTTGGTGGATTCTTCTGCATTTTTTTGGCTCCAGTGGTCAGGTTTTCTTTTCTTTTTTTCCCCTCCATCAAAGACCCGCTGGACTCCCCTGCAGAGGCGCGCCGGCTGTGTCTGGGGGACTGCGCACGACCCGCTCAGAGGAGGTGTAATTGATTGCAAACTGCTTTTGTTTGGAGACTTTCTAAATGACTCATTGAATCCAAAATCAAACGCTTGACATTCCAAAAAGCTTGCGAGATTCCTTGCTGATCCGTTCGCCATGTTCTGTTTCATGTAGTCAGGTTTTGTGCGGGTCACCAGCTCCTGGGCAGAACTTTTTGGGTATTTGTTTAATATCATTTTTTTAATATAAAGTATGTGATATAGAACAAATTATGCATTCAAAACAATTGCATTGCATTGCAAGACACGATGCATTTTTTTGTTATTACACTGGTTTACTTTCATTATTCACATTGCATTTTATTACATATAGTGTGCCTGCCAGTGTGCCTGCCAGTGTGCCTGCCAGTGTGCCTGCCAGTGTGCCTGCCAGTGCCTACTTGGACCCTAATCACAGCCAAATACCACCTCTATGCTGTTTTTATAAAGGGCACATCCTGGGCATCATGCTGTATACCGTTCCGGATGTGCAGAGAGACCGGGATCCTTAACCGCTATGACCCCTGCTTGACAGTGACTGTAAAAGCCTGGAGTGTTATGCTGATGGAAGGCACGGTGATCGCGGCTTTACAGTGGTGCTTCTGCATGGGTGGCACTGGGTTTGTGAATTTGTCCCAAATTAGCTTGTTAGGTGATAATTCTTGGAAGTGGCATAGCGCTGCAATGTGCAGGTCCCTGCCTGGCTGCAGCCGACTGTGGCTTGTCTAGGCCAGAGCTGCCACCGCAGCACGGTGCAGAGAGAAACTCCAACATGCAGCGAACAGCTGTGGGCCTTTTGAAGTCCCTCCTGCCATGCCGTTATTGGACTTGCGGACAGGCCAAAAATGCAGTGGTACATTGCGTTCCGTCGCTTTGGAATTCTTGCATGTTCACTAACAACTGGATGTTGTGACCATGCTGAGATTAATGGGGATTTAAATCAGCAGATGGTTCCTTCACAGGACACCAGAGAAGCGCTTTAAAGGACCCCCTGCCCCCATGGGGTCAGGGTTGAGTAATGTCTGTTTCCTTTGGGTCCCCGTTTCAGTTCAGCAGCTCTGGAAAATATGACATGCAAGATGAGGCTGGTTCCAGTGGTCAGGATGTTTGTTACATACTTTAGAGGATTAGATTAGCTCTGTAAACAGTTCCATGGTGTTGCTGATTGTGATGCCTATTGAAGTGCAACTGACATTGTGGTTTCAATGCTGAATGACACCCCAGCCCTGCCAGTCTCTCAAACAGCTGCAGACATCACCTGATCTCCAGGTCAAGATCTCTCTTACCTGTAAGAGGAGAGCCTAGGCCCCCCCTCATGTCTCCCACCCCTACAGCTCCCTCATCCCCGCCCAGCTCCAGTCTACTCTCTCAAATTCACTCCTGGATACAAACCCTGGCCTTACTGTGCCGTCTGTGTTGCCGGCTCATCTGCAGACATCAACGAGTGTGAGATTGGAGCTCACAACTGCGACCATCATGCCTCCTGCACCAACACCGCCGGCAGCTTCAAGTGCAGCTGCAGTCCAGGATGGATTGGCAACGGAGTCCTGTGTACAGGTGAGTCCCGGGTGCAGGGAGGGCCTTACAAACAGGCGCCAAAGTTCACTGTAAGATTGGCCAACACCGATATTAAAGGTGGCACCGAATAGGAACTCATGATGGCGGCTCTGTGTTCCAGACCTGGACGAGTGCTCCAACGGGACACACATGTGCAGCAACAACGCTGAGTGCACGAACACCATGGGCTCCTATCGCTGTGCGTGCAAGGAGGGCTTCTCTGGGGATGGCTTCTTCTGCACAGGCAAGGCCAGCTTCTCCTGAGCACTACACACACAAACACACAGCTTTGTTGTTATATCTTTATGGGGACTTCCCATTTCTATGAGCAAAACTCTAATCTCAATATGAAGACCTTAACCCCTACCCAGCCCTAACCTTAACCATAAGTAACCAAACAAAATACGAGACTCTTGGCATTTTTACTTTTCTGATTGCATTCACAGATCTTTGTGATCCAGACAACATCAAAATAACAAGTTTTTATTAAATTGTAGGGGACATTTGGTCCCCACAAATTAATATAAACCTAATCCACAAACACACACAGACACATACACATTTTGATGTACTACCCTCTTCATGTGTAAGGGACACAAACACACTGTCCTACTGTCCTACATTAAATATGTACAATAACACAAATATACACGTTTGTCAGCCCGCAGAGGTATTCGCAAAGGGACCAGATATTTAGGATAATCGATCAGTTTGGGGCAGGCTAATATAAAGCTGAGCGTCTCTCTTAGTCGAACCAAACGGTACAGGAGACGTGCGAGTCCTGCTAGTTTATGACATGGCTGGTGTGCTGGCTGACAGATAGCGACGAATGCGCTGAGAACCTCAACCTGTGCGAGAATGGCCACTGCCTGAACGTCCAAGGCGGCTACCGCTGCGAGTGCGACATGGGCTTTGTGCCGACGCTGGACAGCAAGGCCTGTGAAGGTACACCAACAACCGCCGCCGCTCTCTCTGGCTTAAACGTTCCGTGAACGCGGACTGTTGAGCTGTGCTTTTGCTTGTGACCCGAGACATGAATGGACACTCGTCCCGTGATCCTTCCTGCTCGTGACTTGCCATTTACTCTGCCCACACCTCAGACATAGACGAGTGCACCTTCTCAGAAATCTGTGTTAATGGAAGGTGCCAGAACACGCCGGGCCTGTTCCAGTGCCATTGCAACTTGGGCTATGAATTGGACCGCAGTGGAGGCAACTGCACTGGTAAGTGTGCTCCTCCATTAGTTTCTCCACCCGCTCCCCCAAGCCGACTGGCCAATGAAGGCTGGTTCTTGGCCTAGCACCTACAACAAGGGTGCTGTTCTAGGATATGGATCAGAAAACACTTGTTTGTGTTGGATGTTAATGTGTTAATAATAGATTAGATTCATACAGCGCTATTCAAAACCCAAAGATGCTAACAGTATTTTAAAAAACCAGAGCAGAGGGAACTAGGAAGCTGAGGAGAACAGAAAGGATTTAAGACGAGATTTGTAGACAGAGAGAGTGACGCATATCATAAGGAAGGGAATTCCTGGGTGAGGGGAAGAATTTTGAATCAGCTGTGAAATATCACGGGCAGTCAGTGCAGGTTATGGAGAACAGGAGAGATGTGTGGATGGGTCAAGGTGTTGGTGAGGAGTTGAGCTGCCGAGCTCTGAACTGTTTGAAGCTTGTGCAGAGATTTGTAGCTGATGCCAATCAGGAAGGAGTTACAAAGGTTGAGGCATGGATGAGGCATGATTTAGCAGTAGGTTGGGAGAGGCAGGATTTGATATGGGTGATGTTATTCAGATGGAAAAAGGAGGTTTTCCTGATGGGTGAAACATAACTGGCATTTTTCTGGATCCTTCTCTCTCATTACACAAAATTGTGAACAGCAGAAGAGGGATAAACTAGTGTGTCATCGATGAGGAGAGAAACAAGGCACCTTTTACGGCTGATTTATAAACTCTTTTTTTTTTTGTCACTGTTCAGTTTGAGGAAATTATGAGTCATCCAGGTCTTAATTGCAGGCAGTCATGTTTCCATTTGGGACCAGGGTGGTGATCAGATCGATTTAGTGCTGGAGTAGATCTAAATATCTTTGCCATAACAATGGAAATTTGGATTCAATTAACGAGTGACGCTGCTGAGAGGGAGGATGTACAGGACAATGAGCAGAAGCCTGAGAACTGATTGGGGGACCCCATGAGTGACTGCAGAGGAGGAAGATGAATAGCCAGAGACGGAAATTAATGATTTCCTGTCCGTCAGGTATGATGAGAAGCAGTCTAGGGCAGTACCCTCAATGCCCAGGTCATGGAATCCTGTGGGGAGGATGCTGTGGGACGCTGTGTTGAAGACTGCAATCAAGTCGAAGAGGAGCAGGACGCTGAGCCTTTGGAGTCGGCAGATATTAGATGATCATTGAACATTGTTTAAGGCAGTTTTGTTGCTGTGGAGAGGGCGGAAGCCAGACTGAATTGGATCAAGCAGATTGTTGTGTTGGAGATAAGCTAGTTGACTAGCAACGGCATGTTCGAGAATTTTGGAGAATGAAGGGAAGTTAGAGTTAGAATGGTAATTATTGAAGTAAATCATTGGCCTGATCCCAAACATCCTTTTTATATTAACATTTTGCATTGCTGCTCAAATTCCAGGGGATCGAACTGGCAGACTTTGGGTCATTTTGGACATTTCTGTCCTTTGGATGTGGTAGCTAGGTCTCCCTAGGTGATACATTTTAACACAGTGAGGCCTTGGATCGATGCCTGTGACTGTACCGGTGACTTATTGTCTGGTTGCTTTGGCTTCGACAGACATCAATGAGTGCTTGGACCCCATGAGGTGCATCAGCGGGATCTGCGTGAACACCCCTGGCAGCTATATCTGCAACTGTCCCCCGGACTTCAAGCTCAATCCAACGAAAGTCGGCTGCGTGGGTGAGAATCACTGTTCACATCGGCACCCTGGAAGCATTGCCTGGCTCGGCTGGGGAGCCACAGACAGGGAAGGCGTCTGGGATCTCACAAAAACATATGGTGTCTCCTCAGACAGACGATCTGGGAACTGCTACCTGGAAGTGCGATCCCGAGGTGACGCATCCGAAAGCCTGGAGTGTTCCAATGGGATTGGCGACAATGTGTCCAAGGCTTCGTGTTGCTGCTCCTTGGGCCAAGCCTGGGGGAACCCATGTGAAGCCTGTCCTCCCCTCAATTCCTGTGAGTGGGGCTCTTTTGTTAAAGTATATAGCTTAAGTTCTTTTGTTCTGCTTCGTTAACCTGAATATTATATTTAAATCAAGGTTACATGGGCATTTTAATGATTAGATGATAAATGAATTCCCTGCTGGGATGTGGAACCTATTGGAGCCCATGCTGGTCTGCGTTTTGTCATATTGTGGGGTTCTTTCTCTTCCAGCGGAGTACAAAACCCTGTGCCCAGGAGGCGAGGGCTTTCGTCCCAACCCCATCACAGTCATCCTGGAAGGTAAGGTGGGCGTCCGTTCCGCGTCTGTTCCGCACCTTGCTAAAATCTGATGACTCACATGTGTCTGACAGATATCAACGAGTGCACTGAGCTGCCGGGCCTGTGCTACGGTGGAAACTGCATCAACACCTTCGGCAGCTTCCAGTGCGACTGTCCGAGAGGCTTCGAGCTCAACGAGGAGACCAGGATCTGTGAAGGTGACGGAGTCTGAGGATTCGTACGAACTTGGGGACTTGGTTCCAGGGGGGATCGCCTCACCCACTGCTGGTTGGCCCCCTTTGACGTTAGAGCAGATTCTCAGAGCGTGTTTAGGCACAGGGGGGGTGGCCTTTCCATGTGGCTGTGGTGCTTAGGCCAACAGGTGCCCAGCAGAAGCCATTTGGGCCACGAAGATGCCCAGCTGCGGTCACAGAGGAAGGCTGAGAAGGGTGTGATCTCTGGGGGAAGCGGTGTGAGTTTTTAAGACAGCTATTCTGGTCTGCTCTTCAGATATTAATGAGTGTGAGAAACCTGGCATCTGTGGACCCGGCCAGTGCTACAACACCATTGGGAACTACACCTGCATCTGCCCCCCTGACTACATGCAGGTCAACGGAGGCAACAACTGCATGGGTGAGCATCTGTCCATCTCTGTCCTTGTCTCTGTGCCTGTCAGTCTCTCGCTCTCTCTCTCTCGCTCTCTCTCTTTCTGTCTATCTGTGACTGTCTAAATTTCTGTCCCTGTCTCTGTGCCTGTCAGTCTCTCTCTCTCTCTCTCTCTTGCTCTCTCTCTTTCTGTTTATCTGTGACTCTCTCTAAATTTCTGTCCCTGTCTCTGTGCCTGTCAGTCTCTCTCTCTCTCTCTCTCTCTCTCTCTCTCTGTCTTTCTCTCTCTCCCCC